CTAACCGAGGACTGCAGGTCCTGATCAGCCGGTTGGCGACTGAGGAAGCAAAAGCGACAGGTTGAGGATGAGCTGGATGAGTGCAGGTGTAAATCTTTGTTTCCCAGTCCAACAGCCAGCACCTGGAGTTTAGTGGCCTTCGACACCTTTCAGTTAGTTTTGGGGCTGCTTGTGCGCTGAGACGTCTAGAACAACATCCATAAAGGCCTCTGAAGCTCAAATTTCTGTAACTGATCAAATGTCTCCAAACTAACCTGGTTGTTTCTTTCACACTTACAATAACAAACAGGTCAAACATGGCACCTTTTGCCACTGAATAACAAATTTTAGGAATTACTTTACTTCTCAGTGATATGTGAAATGTGAACATCTGACCTGTTCTTTTCATAAGAATGACACAGAACTTCAAATAACTCTTTTATAAACCGTGTTAACTTTGATCATGATGTCAGACTCCTCAGACATAGCAGAGATGAGTGCCGCCCTGCTGGATACACACCTGTGACAGGACAGAATGTTCTTTTTAACATTTTTAATTTGGATCCGACAGTGTTCACAGCCGTGTGTTGGCAGACCCATAATGCAATGTATAATATTTTCTCACTGTTTCCCACAGGTTGACAATTCATTGTGGTGATGGGTGGCACGGTGTGACTTATGTGCATGCAGAGACTCATGCGGTGCGAAGCTGCAATTTACAGATGTTCCCTAAACGCCTCACGTGCATTGGCAGACCCTCATCAGACAGGGATGTGGCCAAAATTGTGTTTACCTGAAAAGAGTGAAATAATGTGTTCTAATGTCAGATTTACCCATATGGAAAGTGATTGTATCTGCCTGGGCAGGTTGTCCAGAGACGAGGCCAACGTCAGGTGAACTGATGTGAAAAATGAACAGTTTTAGGCACACTTGAGGGTGATGTATGGATACATCAGTGCTGCTTGTAGCTGATTATTTGCCCACCGTTCCACTGTTGCCTTTAAGCCTAAGCATCCTTCTAACTGCATTGGTCAAATAAGCACAATGTGACTTGAGTTTCCCAAAGTTTGCCATTTAGCTTTAATATTTTCCCGTCAAAATCATCTACATGACAAAACATTTCTTGCAAAAATATAAAATGTGAAATAAATTCTCAGGCTGGAGTCAGTTTAGGATCGACGACGTGTTAGAGTTCAGAAAGACAAAGAGACAGTAGCAGCTCGATTCTCAGCTTGTTTTCATCCAGAGTTTTAAAGGAAATCCCGCTGAAAATAACGGTTGGTTTGTCTGCAAAAGTATTGAGTTGTTGTCAAATAACCACAGATTGTATGCAGCAGCCTGCTGTCTGCGTTTAAATGGAGCTTTTTGGGTTAAGAGCATTAAAATTACCCTGAGCTTTTGAAATAGAGCAAAAAAATTCTTAAGAACAAAATATTAAAGCTAACATGCAAAAGTTAGCGTGTTACCCTGTAATGCTAAATGCTAGCACAGTGAAAGTTTACCCTGCTAAATGTTAGTACGCAAACTCCACCTTTTTCACAGGGTATTAATAATTTGCTAACAAGTTTAAATGCAAAATGTTATGTCATGTTATCTGGTAAACATTACAGAGGCTCACATTGGAGATTTTAACATGCTAATGTGCAGTTAGCTGGAGAAGCTAATCTAAAAAGCCAGACTGTGTTTACTTTGGTGGACTCGTAGACATGTTTAAAAAGTTTTTGAGGAAAAAAAAAGTACAAAGAAAACTTCCAGAAACTTGCACAACTTTCCCTGATGTACGTTTTCTTTACATTGTTTGTTTGCTAAATTTCTTAAATGAAGGAAGCTAAAGCAAAGTTAGCATAACTCATAGCCAATGGAAAGAAGGCCCACGCTGAAGATACTCTTCACTTCCTGTGACTTGTTAAGTTAAAGTCAGCTTGTAAATATGATAAACTTTTCTCTACGATTAGTGCAAAGTAAAGATTATTTCAGGAAAAATGAACACTGAGTACAAAACACTGGAAATGCCCATTAGGATTTTCACACTTTGACGTAGTAATATTAGCTGAAAACATCCCCATCTGTGACCTCAGCCTTTAGTTTAAAGGCGAGTAAAGTAAAGAAAAAGTCTTCAAAGCAAAGGATTTAGTTTCCTTTTAAAAAAGGCCCGAGAAGGCGTGAAAAAAAAACAAAAAACTGAAATATAATTCCTACATGTCTGTTTTACATTTGTCTGTTTATTGGTCCCGAACTGAAAGATGTCACTTACTGGCTTATAGGACAACGATTGTGTATCCGCTAGAGAAAATAACCCTTTAAAAAAATAACAGCTGTTTTGCTAATTATTTAATAAAGATAAATCAACCAAGACTGGAAAAAAAAATCAAGTGATACTTTTTTTTTTTCCTTTTTTGAGCGCCAGTTGCATTAAATTAATACAGTTTTATCACATAACTGTTACATACAGCCAGCTGTAAATGTGATATCACAACAAATAAATTATAGTTTATTTTGTCCCTACACATTTTCTATGATACTCTCATACTTTGTACAGACGTGACTGAGATGTCAGTCAGTGTAAAGTACGGACAATAAACCTTTTTGATTTCACATTTGTTGTTCTGATTTGCAATCAGAAGTTTCAGCCTAGCGGCGGCGCTAATGTAGCTGTTTGTTCTTCAAGTTATTCCTCATTTAAAAAAAATACTTTTGCAGATGAACAAACCAAAAGTTATTGTCAGTGAAATTTACTGTAAAGAGTTTCCCAATAGTGCAAAGACATCTCAATAAGGAGCAAAACAATATATAGTCAGGACATGTTTGTTTCTCGTGTGTTCTACTTAGAGTCACAAAGGACGACTTTCCTCTACACGGCTTCAGGAGATCTCAGACGTAAAAACCACCGGCTAAAATCTGCCATTTCAGCTGAAAAAGTGTATAAAGTCTCTGATCTGGTTTTCAACTAGCCCTTCCACAGCTCCACTGACAGACTGAATGATTTCTGAGGGAAAAAAACAAAAAACTTCCAGCTTTCGGCTCAAAAAGGTCTGTTTGTTTATGGCTTGTAGAAAAAACAGGGGAAAAAAGTAAAATATGTGAAAAATTAAACATCTCTGGCCCTGAATTATTGCTGTGGTGTCACAGTGTCCTCACACAGCTGCCTGACCAACACGTCCTCCAGGAATGTGCGTTGTCCTGCGCCATCATGGGGAAAAGCTCGCAGTCTCCATGGCGACAGTTTCCAGGATTTGACAACTCCCTTGTTGGAGATGCTGACCCTGCCGGGCCTCTAGGGGTCCTCGTCCATGTCGTCCAGGTTGGGCGACATGATGAAATGTTTGGGGTAGTGCAGGCCGTTCTCGTCGGCGTGTTCCTCCCAGCGGGCGTCGTCGCTCTCGTGGGTGATGTAACGCTCGCGTCGCCGCGTCTCAAACTCCCTGAGGTCCAACCAAGTGTGGTAGTCCTGGGAGACGACAGTAAACACAAATAATATGGGGCAATCAATATATTTTAAATAAATCAGACATGGTTTGAAATTTAATTGTTAAAAAACAAAATATACTACTACTAAGTTAAAGTCCTACATTTAAAATATCAGCAAACTGTAGTTAAAGTATAGAAGTCAGTCGTCAATACGCAGGATAAAGGACACTAAGAATCGTTTCAATGTGTATGACAGTAATTACTTAATATTGTGCTTTAACATAAACTGCATTCTAGGCCAAGAAGAATGAATTATTCCCATTTTATTTCTACTCAGAGGTTTAATTTACTTTATAAATGTCATGGAGCAACAATAACAACATTTCCCCCTGAAATAAATGATTTAATTAATGAATTTATCATTTTAAAAGCATCATAAAAGTAGTACTGTAGAAGTGTACTCAAGTACAGAACTTCTAGTTTCTGTCCACCACAGTTCAGTGTTCAGTGATGTGTTTTTTTTAAAGTGTTTCATACACACAAGAAACTTGATTTCTTCTGGAAACAAATGACTTTCTTGTACTTTCTACATGTAAAACAGCATCCATGATGATAATGTTCATCATGGGGCTGAAGGTAGTTTGCACAGTTTAGAAAACCTCCAAAATATGGATGGCATGTCTTCAGTCAGACGACTTTAAAAAGCTTTTCAGCACTTAGAATAACTCCTTAGTCTGACAGAAACAGTGCAGCAGACTGAACGTGTGGTTAAACTTTTATATTGTCTCGTGGATGCACACAGAGAAACCACAGACGCATACTTGTTCTTATTATACTACTTTCCAGTTTACTTGGATTCCATACGTTCACATCAGACTGCTGTCTACATATTCCACACATGCACATGCTGACACAGATTGGAGGCTGCATGTAGAGGAGTCCACACCGACTCTCTAGAACCCGTGAATACTCACTGACATGAAAGGTAGAACTCTGGCCTGTACGCCCTTCTGGGTGTGAACACAGAATACTGTGGACCAGTGGTTCTCAAACGTTTTGAGCCACGACCCCCAAGATAACATAAGAATCAATTCATGAACACAGAGCAGACAAACACCAACTTTAGTGCCATTTAGGAGGAATCTGACTGGGAGGATAAGATCCACTGGGAGTCCAGAACCAGATTCCTAGCCGGGTTATCATTAGAACATCTGCAGTGCAAAAACTCAACAAATGAAGTATCACTGTGCCTCCTTGTGACATTGAAGCTAACCTAAAGCAGCCTCTGAAAGTCTAAGTAAGTCATTTTTTTCCTATTCAGCATTGATTTCATACAAACTCATGGTATTAAGGAGAGCAGTAAACGGTGCTGCCAAACTAAGTCTGGAGGTCTTTTGCACTTGACAGACTGAAAACAAACAAAAAACAAACTCAGTCCTAAGATCTCTCTCCAGGAAGATGAAACAACTAACAACAAAACATCCTAATGAACCCCATTGTGGCAGGGGGATTACTAACGACTCACATAACGAGGGGGAGGAGCAACAAACCCCCAATTGAAACCGAAACTCAGGTGTTAGTGGCTCCTTTAGGATAGAAGTATCTGGGACTCCCAACTAGTCAGTCAGAACTGATGAAGCCTCTTGGATGAGAGGTGGAACGTCTTCGAGGAACTCAGTCCAGTTGCTACAATTAATCGACCAGAATAACCATGACCTGGATGACTGAGAAGCTTCACAGACAACAAAAAACAAAACAAACAAAAACTTCCTTTCCCTCCCACACAGCCTGCTATCGGCATCAACGTCCTATCACACCTGAACTTGTTCTGTAGAATTTATCCAGATTGTTTTCTCCTGACCAGAGCCTTGCTTGTGTTATATCTGCTCTCAGGGTCTTTTACTAGTTTTTAAATGTCTTAACAGCCTTACGCCCACTTATTTATCTGATCTGCTTTTACCATATTGACCCTCATGGATCCTGAAGTCCTCCGGCAGCAGCTTTTTATTGATACCAGTAGCCAGAACCAGAACCCACAGTTAAAGACGCACCTTTTTAATTCTTCTCATTTATATTTTAAGGTTTTTAGTTTTTAACTCCAGTGTTTCCTTAGGGGGGTCCTCCACACTGGGAGCTGTGTCCAGTCTGCTGCTGGGGGGTTCTGTCTGTGGGTCCTTTCAGCCCAGCTGGTTTGGGGGGCTCCCCACCTCGGTGTGGGGGTCCCCCTGTCTGCTGGGGTTGGGGGGATGCCGGCGCCCCCAGTGGTCATGGTCTGCGACTTCTCTCAGTGTGGACGGCCCCAATTGGCTGTGTGTTCCACGAGCCTCAGTGCCATGTGGTGAGTGTGTGTGTGTGTGTGTATACATGGAGGGTGGGAGCGATGGGTTTTCTTGTCTTTTTTTTTTTCATTTTTCTCTCTTTGACAATGTTCTTATTGCTGTAAAGCACTTTGCGTTGCTCCATGTATGAAAAGTGCTGTATAAATAAAGTTTGATTTGATGTAGATGTACGTCACTTTGGATCAAAGCGTCTGCTACATGAAATTGTAGAAACTGTAGAATTGTAGGAAGTAATCCTGTTTTTCAGCGCAGATGAACATGTTATTAAAGCTGTAGGACTGCCTTAGATTTCCTCTGACACCTTTGTTTGCTCAACAGCCGTCTGGTTACCTGCAGCCAGGGGTGGCTCAGAGACTTGTCCACGCTGTAGCGCTTCCTCATCTTCACCTGCAGCAGGTTATTGATCAGGTCTTTGGCTGGTGAAGAGAAGAACCAGGACATGTTAATGAGTAATTAAACATGCAAGTTCCTCTAATGTAGAGTTATTCTGCTATTAATCTATTTGTAAGGGAAAACTGTAAAGGGAAATATACATTATCACATGTATGTACATATGGAGCCTGTAAGAAACTTCTTCTTTTCCACACTATTGACCAGAAAAGTTTAATTTTATAAAACGAAATGGCCCAAACGTCCCACAGAAGTGAAAACCCTTGAACCCTCATCATCCTACAGATGCAGCTCTGCCTGTTGTTGAGACGTTTACATGCAAAGCTGGAGGCGTAGTTTTACTGAAAATCTGATTTCCTGTCAACGTCTCTGATGTCTACGACTTATTTTGGTTTTGTGTTTGTGATTTTTGTCAACTTCATTTTCTCTCAGCACCATAGACTGTTTGAAGGATTACATCTGCATAAAGTGATCCACTGCAGCTCAAATCTGCTTTATTTAGGCCTGAAACTGGCAAATATTTCCATTAATCTGCAATTAATCTGAATAACTGGTGAATACATGTCAGAATATAATGAAAATATCTGTCACAGCTTTGTTGACATGATCAAACGTCTTGTTCTGTCCAACCAACAAAACCTCAAGAAACTCAAGTATATAAAACCTATCAGTCACGTATTTGTTGTACCTCTACACTCGTCATCGATGCTGAAGAGTCCATTCCTGACACCACTGATTTAAACTACAGCATCACTGTGTTTTGTTTTAATATTTAAAACAGCATATTCTTTGATTTGCTCCATGATCATGAATCCCCCCGCAGCCTCTTACCCTCCTCTGAGATCTCCTTCCAGGGGTTGGGCGGGTACATGAAGGCAGCGTTCTGGATCTGGTCGTTGATGTCCTCGTCCTCGTTGAAGGGAAACGTCCCGCTCAGACTGACGTAGACGATGACGCCGACCGACCACATGTCCAGAGATCGGTTGTAGCCTTTGCTGCGGAGCACCTCGGGGGCCAAGTAGGCCGGAGTGCCGACCACGGAGCGGCGGAACGACTTCTCCCCGATGATACGAGCGAAGCCGAAGTCACAGAGCTTCACCTGGTTGCAGAAGAAGAGGGTTTGCTAAAGTTGTGCTGCTGCGTTTTGACATTGACAGCAAACAGAAAGGACGATGATTGGTTCTGACCTGAGGAAAGGGCTCTGCTGAGGCCAGGAGGACGTTCTCCGGCTTCAAGTCACAGTGGACGATGTTCTTGAAGTGAAGATGACGGAGGGCCACCAGGATCTGTGGACGGTCACAAGCTATTAGAGATCTTGTAAGAATATTAATATACAGCTGAGTGACTGCTCTCTCTTTCACTGAGACATCAACATGAACCCTCTACATTATCAGACTGGACAAACTAACTCATCTTTGCTTCCAAAAACCATCAAAATCAAGGTGGCTATAACCTAAACAGCTTCCCCATTATCCTAAACTCTCCACTAAATTTACTTTCTGAATACATTTGTGCTGACAAACAGGCCACTCTGCTCAAAAAATCCTGCTTAATTTTATCCAGAAAGCCTCACTGAATTAGATTTTTTTCTTGTAGTACTTTTCCACTTTCCTTGTTGGACAGTCTGACAGAAACACCACACATACCTGAACAAAGAGGCTACGACTGTGTCTGACCTTTTTCGTAAGTTTCCAGCATTTACAGCCACTTCAGTCTTTGGCCAGTTTTTATATTTTCTGTCTTTAAAAAAATATGACTGTGCAACATCATGAAACCCTTCTAGGAGACACACATCTTGATTCTGTCTGACATCAGGTTTTTTATTCCACCTTCAATTGTGACTATTTGGAAACAGCTTCTGGAATGGTCGAGCACATCATATGAACTACATCTGTCCAGTTTTTACTGATACTGACTCAGTTCTGGGCTGATTTAAATGCTGCATCAAAACTTCTCCTTTCAAAAGAGGACAACGGCATGTTCTGTTTGTTACCGATCCCACAAACTAATGTGATCTGTTTCATACATATGCAAATGTTTCCGCTCTGTGACTCTATAGCTGTCTGTGATGACACTAAACAACAATTAATTTAGAATTTTTAAATTGAGGAACTACTGAGAACATCCCTGCTTAACCACACCTCCCCAGGCTCTCCACGTAATCTGATCTCAGTAGCAGATGCTTTAAGTTGTTCAGGTTAAGAGGTGGAGTCGACTTGTTCATCACAAACCCTGTTCAGGCTTCGTCCCTACTGGGATCACTGTCAGTAAGTTCTCATAGCTGCTGACCAAGATCACCAGGCAGTGTTTCTGTATACTCTTCAAATCTTTTGAAATGTGAAAATGAATAAAGAAAATGCAGATGAGGCTTGTTTCCGTTAATAATTAATAAACTAGACAGCATAATGTCGTCAGAAAGTGGAGGTAAAGTCAAGCTGTTTGCTACTAGCAAAGAAATCTTGAAGAGGAAACAGTTTGGCCATCGAAGAGAGAAATATGGAGAGGAATTACTTAAATCTAGAAAGTTGTAATGATTCTCTGAGCTGGGAAGACACAAAAAAAACAGCTGATCGGTCAAATGATTAAATGTTTGCTACATCAGAACTTATTCAGAAACGAGTTTCCATCGCACATGAAGCTCATTAATGTTTTTTTTCCCAAAAAGTCAAAAACCATTTTAACTGAGTGTTAAAGCTCTGTTCTAAGACTGTGGAAGTTTTCATGAATTTTGCAGTTATCTCTGAATCATGGCTCCAAGAAGTCAAATTAAACTTCCTAATGTGCTACTTGATATCCAAAAGGTCTGACCATAATGAGTTCATGTCAAAGCAGCTTCAACTGCAAGAATGTTTCTGAAAAATCCAAGACCGTGACCTTCACTGTTGTTCTGAGATAATCAGCATCACTTGCTTTGGCTGTAAACACTCCATATGTTTTGGATAATCGGTGAACAGAGCAGTGAACAAATGAACGATGATCACTCTGGTGGAACGTGCTGCCGGTCGTCACCGACCTGTGTAACCAGGAACTTGGTGAGGCGTTCGGGGAGTCGACTCTTCTCACTGGATAAAATCATCTCCAGCATGTCGCCGTGAAGCTTCTCCATGACGACGAACACCTGCTCGGGGGTCTCGAACATGCACTCCAGGTTGACGATCCCCGGGTGGTGGAGGTTCTGTTTGAAACAAGACCAGAACACTATAAAGTAGTCCCAACAAGAGTGACTTAATGGGATAATTGACTGTATGTGAACGGTTTAAACTCAACGAGGAGAAGAACGTGTTTCTTTATGATGTTCATTTAACTTCACTGTGTCTTGTCTTGTCACACCAGTTGCATGTCTTACCTGGAGAATGGCCACCTCGTTCCTCAGCTGGCTCTCCTGCTTCGTGGGAAACCTCATTTTGTCGATGATTTTGATCGCCACGTCTCTGCCGGACTTTCTGTGTTTGCCTACAGAACACGACGGGGAGAGAATTTTCAGCTCTTCACTGACTTTATCAACTTTTTATCCATCTAGAATTAATGTTTAAGTGGAGTTGAATGGCATGGATGGAAACCAAGAGAGGCTTTTTGTGGTTTCACAAAATATCCCACCTCCGTAGACGATCCCAAACTGTCCCGAGCCGAGAACCTCGTCAGCAAAGATCTGATAGACTGAACTGATATCCTGAACAAGGAAGATGAAACAGATCGGATGATGAGAACACATCACTGCTGATTAGTTCTCACCATTAAAGTCTAAATAACAGAGCATGTGTAATCACTTACCACGTTTTCTTGAATCTGGGAGTTAGACACTGATATGCTGATAGAAAGTTCCTCTGAGGAGACACAAAACAAAACATAACTGTACAAGCTACAGATCTTGTAACCACATGTGTAAACTTACAGCAGAGACGCGTGAGGTTTTATTTTGATAACCTTCAAATCATTAAAATCTCATTTCCTGCATTTCCTTGTTTGTTAAAGACTGAGGTGACGGGAGATTTCCAGCTAAGATCAAACCAAACGGATTTGTTTGTTCAACACATGATGAAAGAGGTTCTAGGATGTTTCCAGCTGGGACGAGCATCTCTGAATCATTTTCCAGATTTCACATGAATAAAAGTCTCCATCTCCTGCCCTCCCCTCCTCCGCGTTCAGCCCTGCGATCTGTGAGGACACGCTGTTAATTCAGCCTGACACTGAAAAGCCGAGGGCACGTTCTGTGGTGACAAAACTGATGAGCTGGTATTGATTTCGGATTGCTGGCTGGGTTTGATTGGGTCACCCCTCCGTGATCAATACCTGCAGTCTGATGTAAGCAGGCAGCCTGTTGATATTTAGGTCACCGTTAGGAGACTTTATGTAAGTTGATCGACACAAATGTAACTGTGGGAAGTCAAAATGCAGCTGAACTTTGACCAATGTGGTGTGATTCTTAAATGGAAAAAGCTTTTATTGTTTCACATACAGGTGCAGCTAAAAACATTTGAATATCGTGAAATAAAATTGTTTTTCAGAATATACTTCAACAAGGTAAGCATTCATATATTCTGTATTCATAAAGTGAAGTATTTCAAACCATTTTTTGCTTTAATTTTGATGTCTATGGCTTATAGCTCATGAACGTAGCTTCACATGAACAGACTGACATCAGTGTTGTGTCAAAGGTGGAGGTTTTGAGTGTTAGCTTAGCATAAAGAGCTAGCCTGGCTCCGCCTACATCCAACACCTCTGATGGTACGTGTCCGCAGGAGCATTTTTAGACGTGAGGGGTTGCATCGCTTTACACCATCGGACATAACAAACAAAACATACAGGCTACACTCTCCTACAATCACAAAAAACATTGGCTGCACCTGATTGGACGAACGCTTTACTATCTGCTCGCTGACGTCAAACCAGCCCAACATGTCGGCTCGTTTTGGAACTTTTTGATATTACAGAAATGGTTCAACAAACTGTGTTTGTGAAAACATTTAAAGAAAGAAAGAAGCTACGCTGAACCGGTTTTCATTTTAGATCAACAACAATTTGTTTAAAAGTTTTTCTGAAGTAGGTGTTCAGCAAGAAGCAGAGGGGATATTGTTTACAACCATAAGCTGAGTTCTATAAAACTACTGGATTATTTCACTATGTCAGGGCTTCACCACATGTTTTGTTTTAATTCTTAAATATTGAGCAACTCCACAGAGGCAGAGTCATTCAGATTGACACATTTAAAACCGGGTGTGAATCGCTGTTTGTGTGTCTGTTGATCACTTTTAACTGCTTTTTAAACTGTAATGTCATTTTTTGGGTTTGCCTCTATTATGTATTATCATTGTTGTCTGTTAGTCAATGAGATGATTAAAAAAAAGCCCTGTTACATCACCACCGCATTAACTTATTGATGTGTGTTCACTGCAAAACAAAACATCTATTTTTGGAAGGAAACTGAACATTAATTACCCAACAGGTGGAAAATGCACTTGACTGCAGCTTCTAAAATACAATAGTTTCATAACGATGAGCGTCTTCAATAACAGTTAATGGTCCTTATGTGTTTGGTGTTGGAGATCTCATTCTGGGATGAAACTTAAAACTCTTATTTTCAGATAAAGACACTTTAACCTGAGAGGAATCAGAGCGAGAGGAAGCAGAAAATCCTCTGGAATCCCTTCAATCACGTTAAAATGTCAGTGGACAGTGTGTGTGTGGGTGTGTGTGTTGTGTAACAGTAGTCAACTGAGACAATATTTGGAAGCTGTTCACAGAAAAACAAACACACCCCATATGCATTAACATATAAACATATATTACAATCTAATCTGCTTTCAGGAATGACTGTAATACTGTCAGAGGGTAAAGACATGCAGTGAAGCTGTCGGGGTTGTTTAATTCTGTATGAAGCTCAGTGGGTAGGTCTCCTTTGTTGGCACTGAACAACATCTACCTTATGTAGAAAATACAGGCTGTATGTCAGTCCTTTAGTGCACCAGCTCCTTAGGAAACCATAACTAAGTTTAACGAAACTCTTCTCAACGTTCTTCCACAAATAGCCAGTGTCAAAGTACATCAAATTACAGGCGTATTTATTTATTTAATTTTTTGTAGAGTTCACGTTTCACATTTCATGGATATAAAATGAGAAGTTAACGTCTGACTTTAATAGTTTTATAAGACAAAGTAAGAATTTCTGAGGAAATTCAGACCAGAGAATTTAACAGATTAAAAATATTTTAACCAATAAGACACAAGATGAAGGACGTACATGTCAGAAAATGTATTGTACACTAGGCGTAGTACCTGGTTGTTCCATCAGGTGAAGTCTTTTAACACTGTAGCGACCCAAGGAGGCGGTCCCTTGGACAACAGGCAGTGATGTGTTGGCGAGCAGACAACATTGTTGGGGTTTTAGCGAGTAAAGGGGAACCATGATAAAGACTTCTGTGGCCATTAATGGCCGACTCCATATAATGGAGACAAGCTGCAGTTTACGGAAACTACGTTATAATAATTGAGTGGCTGATGTAACAAAGCCCCTTTTACGACAAGTAGCTCATCTCTGGGTTTATAAACGCTTTAACGGCATATGTACAATGTTCACTGTGCTTCATTTATGTTGACGATCAATTCATTTCTGATTGATGACGCAACTAACAAAACTGTTTTAATTTGTATCCCTACCTCCATATACAAGGATGTGGTTTGGGATGGGATTGAGTTCACATCAGGAGCAGCCACTTTGCAGAGAAACCAGAGCAATAATCCCATCCAAACGGGGCTTAGACAGTTTTTTGTATATTTTCTTTTCATTACTTTAAGATATTTTTAGAGCACACGGGACATTAAGTTGGACTGGAAAGTGAGTTTCTGGTCATTACTTACTGTGGTCCTTCCCTTGGCCTGGCCCTGCGCCGACGCTGGCTTTGGGCGTAACAGGCATCATGGCCTGTCGGATGGCCTTCTCCCAGCTCTGGCCCACGTCCCGCCCCACGCCGGATGCCGCCAACACGGGGTTGTGGTACAGCCCGCCATTGTCCTCGCCGACGTAGTACACCATGCTGGCTGTGATGACCTCGAAGCAGTGCGGGTTACTGCCCTGAGGCAGGCTGCTGAAGTCCTGCGCCGGCTCTACCTGCAGGATCTCGGAAAGGGGGATCTCCTGTGATAAAGCCGAAAAGGAAATTTAGAATCCTGTCCATGTGGATGAAGTCATTTGAAAATGTTCCTGCTGGGCGCCGTACCTCCACTTTCAGCTCAAAAACCCAAATCTCTGCACTTGTGAAGCATCTTTTCTGTCCAAAACTTCCCTCTCCTTGAACATTTTAAGTCTTGTCTGGCTATAAGAAGCTTCCATAAGGTCTTGAAATTCAGCCCCCCATCCTATCACTGCTCCTCTCTTTGCTAAAATGAGAAGCTCTTTGACTTTCAGTGTTTAAAACTTCCCTTCCTTCCCTTTCTGGCAGACCCCCTCGCAAAGAAAGCCTGCACCCCTCCACAAGCCCTTACCCCTGCCAGATCAAACATATAAGGAAGAACGATCGGCTCAGTGGTGTCTTGGTGCCCCTCAGAGTCATCTGAACGTTTCGTGTTTTGCCAAGTTCACCCCCAGACACGCCCTCCCATCAGCATCTTCTCATCCTCTGATTAAAAGGCAGGACGTGCCTCAGAAGCTCCGGGCACTTGGCAGCGTGGCGACGAGCCAGAGAGACGGCAGGGAAGCAACCCGACGTCCCAAAAACCACCACAAATCTCCCGCTTTGCCTCACCCCCCCTCCCTCACCCCCGACTCTCGTTTCCTCTTCAAAGGAAGGTTTCTGCAGTGCTTTTGTGCTAAAGGTCAACAGGTCGCCAGCAGACGCGAGATGAAAGGAGGTGGAGCACGTGGAGGGAAATGATGGAGCTGCAGCGGTGTTGACCTGAATTCACTGATCGGATACAGCAAGGAAACAGTTGCTCCTAACTGGAAATTCAAAACTGTAAATTAAAAAAAAAGCTGGAATGTCTGGGAAAGTTTAAAAAAAAAAAAAAACACACCCCAAACTAAATCACCATTAAAACTATCCTCGTGTCAAGGCTTTGGAAGCTCTCCGAATGGATCAGAATTTAGAATAAAAGAGCAATATTTTTTCAAACCTTTTTGTTAATTGACTCATTGCTGATCAGGCTTACTGATGGGAATAATCATCCTTCAAAGTCTAATCTGTATTGTGGAGAAAAACTATTAAAACCACATCAGTGAGTCATACTGTTGCGCTAAATGATGAGGAACTTTTTTTTTTCTGCTCAATCCAATGTACTCCATCCTGCAACTCACTGGAGCACCAAATGTGGATTAACACTCTGAGCCCTAAGTGCTCTCTTTGCCATTTTTCTTTTTGGCTCCAGTCACATTTTTGCTCATTTTTAAAGTCCTGCTCCTCTACTGAAACAGCACAACTATGGCTAGAAGTAGAAAGAACCCACAAATGGTTTTTTGCACAGTCTGACAGGTACCCATCCATGTAAGATAAAAAATAAAAAAATCTAAGTTTAATTTATTTAAGTATTTTACAAAAACGTGCAGCATTTGGGCTGCAAGGTGGCTCGGTGGTTAGTACCGTTGCCTCGCAGCAAGAAGGTCACCAGTTTGCGTCCCGGTGAGGACACTCGGGATCTTTCTGCGTGGAGTTTGCATGTTCAGCGTGGGTTCTCTCCGGGTTCTCCGGCTTCCTCCCACAAGGTCCAAAAACATGTTGAGGTTAATTGGTGATTCTAAATTGTCCGTAGGTGTGAATGTGAGTGTGCTTGGTTGTCTGTCTCTAAGTGTAGCCCTGTGATAGACTGGTGACCTGCCCAGGGTGTCCCCTGCCTTCACCCTAAGTCAGCTGGGATAGACTCCAGCCCCCCACGACCCTAGTGAGGATTAAGTGGTGTATAGAGAATGGTTGGATGGATGGATGGATGGATGGATGGATGGATGGATGGATGGATGGATGTAAAGCATCTTTCCAGGTGTCCACAGGTGTTACATTACTGGAAAACAAACAGTGACTCATACAGTTTTTTTTGTCTAATGACTGTTTAGGCACTAATGACTTTGCTGACTTGCTTTCTTCAACATCTGGTTGTAGTAAATAGTTTAGTTTTGGCCAAATCTTTAAATAACACACAGGGCTCCAGACAAACATTTTCACTGGTGGCACCGGGGCGACCAACTTTTCATTTGCTCCCACCTTGTCACAGGCAAAACATATGACTTGCTGAACATCTTCTTATCTATACACACTACAATGTACCGATGGTCCCTAAACGCCTCACATAGCTGCCGTCCGGTGGCTGCAGTGTGCCCAGACAGGTGTGTGACTGAAATTACATTGAAAATAGTTCTATGAGCAGGAAAAAGAAGCACATTTAGGTCACTCTGCTTTTCACGAGAGGACTGCACCGAAGTTATTAAACCACTAGCTGCCACCACTGTGGTTAACACTGGGCTGGTTACAGTGGATGGTTTGTTGCTGCCAGTGTTGTAAAAAGACTTCAGCTGACAATTTATCTCACATTTCTGTTATCTAATTTTTTCTCAAAGTCTTTATCTGCCTTTAAATTCTCTGTTCTTATAATAATTACAGAGAATAATCTGATTCCAAGCGCACAGTGATGTGTGTTAGTGTCTCACGAGCTCCACACTTTGTTACTGTATGAACCCGACTCCCTTCCACACTCGTCTTCACGTCGCTGCTTTGTTGGGCCGAGCAGCTGAAACCAGATCCGGGCTGACTGGGTCTCCTACCTTGTAATACTTGGCTCCACTTTCATTCTGAAACAGAGTCAGACTCTTGCTGTCCAGCCTCCAGTAATGTCTCTTCCTCTGCAAAGATAAAACAGGTCATCAGGCGGAAGCGTCTTTAAACCTGTTCAGAGAGTAATCTAAAGCTACACATAATGAAAAACTGTGTGTTTATAATGGTGCAAAGTTCATGTGTCATGATGTGTAAAGTGAAGCATGTTTTACCAGGTGTATATTTTGATTCCTGATATTCTGGGTCATTACATTTTATATTTATGTTAGCATGTACGATTTATCCATCTGCATGTCTGTCAGAGTAAGTGATCACTGTTTACGTCAGGGTGTTGACTTTTCAAACCCACAAACATACAGCACAGCGTCCCGTCTCACCAGGTTGTCTCGGCTGGTGTAGTGCACCATCCAGCCCTCTTTGACCACCGTGGAGCTTTTCCTCTTGGTGTGCTTGATGGACTGAACCACACGCATCAGAGGGATGTTACTGCTGGTTGACGGGCTAAAGGAAAACAAAGTAAAACCGCAGTTCATTAGAGTTACAACTCAAATGATCAATGATTACATTGGGAGTTTGACACAAGAGCTGATGAATTAGACAATTAAACTGCCATCTATTAATGACACACAGGTAGATCTTAAAAACCTAAACTGGCTCACTGCTCTCTGATGTCAACAATGGGATATTTGTATTCGTGTCAGTATCTAAACATTATTTGTTACAAACCTCATAAGCGTTGATGTTGTGGTTGAATGCCAGTTTAGCATTATACACTAAAACACTGAGGAACTAAAACTGTTTAAATGACCGCCATCTCTTTCATTATGATTAAAACATATCCAACTAGAGACAGCAAAGAGCTCACAACAAGCTTCCCCACAGGATAAAATAATGTCTATTTTTAACAATGCTGATTAAATTCTTAGGAGTCAACTCCTGCTTCTAAAAAATGGTGCCACACTCTGGTGAGAAAATCAGCTCTTTTCAGCTGTGTGTCATTCTTGTGGAACAGAAGGATGTTTGCTTCACCTGATCGCTCTGACCGTCTCGTCGTCTTTGTCACCGTCGGTGCAGGGGCCCTCGATGAAGAACATCTTTTCCTCGGAGGTGGACAGCTCGTCCTGCTCGTCCATGCTGTGACCTCCATCGCTGTTGACGTCGCAGTTGTCAACCTCCATCGTTGCCTCCGAGTCCAGACTGGGACTGGCCGGCTCTGAGGAAACAAAAATCTGTGAGACTCTGGGTACAGGACTTAAAAACTTCTACAAAGACTTCATAAAAGCTCCAGGATTTCATTGAGCTGCAGTTCCTCTGACGGCCAGTAGGTGCCAATTATAAAAACGCAACTGAAATGAAAACACTCATCATGTACACATTTCTAAACTAAGTTACAAAATGTTTAATAAAATGAACGATCAACATTATCACGTCAGTACAAAGATAATAAATACAGGTTAGGGTTACTGTGGATGGACCATCTATCTTTATCTAACAGTGCTCATCCAAAAGATTCAGCAGTGAGTGTTAAGTTGCAGCCCTGATTTAGATCCAATACTTTGTTAGGACAATCAATTTATTAAGAATATCCTCCCCTTTCCTTTTCCTACAGACTTCATCAGTCCTCTACAGTCACACCTGTCACACAGAGCTGCAGCCATTAGTTGATTAATGGAATAGCTGATCAACAGAAAACCAATCTGCAATTATTTTGGTAATCAATTAGTGCTTCAAGTGATTTTTTAAGCAGAAATGGAAAAATATAATAGGATTAATTTCAATCAATTTTCATATACTAGAAGGTTTTCTATGACCAACTGAGCATTGTAAAGTTTTTGAATAGTTTGTGACATTTAACAGACCAAAAATATTCAATAACTATAAGCTGCAGCTCATTCTGTGGATTAGACACTGAGTGCCCAGCAGTGATGCAGAAAAGCTGTCTAGACGGTGGTTTGCATGCCAAGTAACGGATGGCATTGGTGTCAACTGGGTGCAGGTGGGTGGGAACTTTCCCTCCGATAAGTAGTTGTGGTTAGATGGCGGCTTTGGGGGGTTTCAGCCAACGACAGCAGTAAAAATGAAACCAACTCACCTCCGTTAAAGTCGACCTCTCCGAGGCAGTCTCGAGGTACTTTGGCGGCGCATCTCTTATGGCAGTTGAATTTACAATCTGAAGCAAGAGAAATGAATTGAAAACATTTTAACGTTTCAAATGTTCATCCAGACAAGAAAATGTGATGATGAATTTTCATTACTTCATAAGTCTTTGGTAGTGATGCACGATATTAAAATTTCTGGCCAATACCAATATCCGATATTAAGATCTCTGATCTCGCCGATAACCAATATTACCGATGTCGAGATTAAATTTTTGTTCACACCGAAAAATAAGTATGAGTAAGCACTGTGAGAACGTGAAAACTATTCAAAAGAAGCCCAAATTAGAACACATAGTCTTCTTTATTACGTAAGAAAAGTAAAACGTACTTAAACACATTTAACGTTCAAGTCCAGGAACATTTAGGAAATAGCTGTGAAATAGCAGCAATATCAAATGTAGACACGAAGGCGCTAATGTTAGCCAATCATCGGCTAAACTTGTTCATCGAACCAATACCAATATATCGGCAAAAACACTAATATCGGCCGATACCAATGTGGTCGACGATATATCGTGCATCCCTAGTTTTTTGTTTTGTTTTTAATTCACAACTTTTTTAGTGCACTATAAAAGCTGTACTTTTTCTTTAATGCTTCACACATGAGAATGAATTTAGCATTATTTTTTCTGCTGATGGGACATTTTACCAATAAACTTCATATTATTTTAGTTTACACAGTATCTTTAAATACAACAGAAACACGTAGAGAAATAATTGATTCGTCACTGTGGACCAATCACTTTAGTCTTTTTCCGAGTGAAAACCTTCTCTGCTAACAGCATTGTACGAGTGAGGATTCGCTGCTTCTCTTTGTCTCGATAGACTCAACATCTTTGGAGTTTGGACTGCTGTTTGGATAAAACGAATCCAAGACGTCACCTCTGGGAAGCTGTGACGAGCTGCTTCCTCTGTTCTCTGCTGTGTTTCGGACATTGTTTGCACGTGTGTGTCGTCACCTTTGCACTGCAGCCCCTGGCGGAAGAGGCCCTTCAGCAGGCGTTTGCAGTACTGGCAGATGGTGGGACGGGTGTAGGTGTGGACGGAGAAGGTGTGAGGGACTTTGACCCGGCCCAGGACCATCTTCTCCATCCAGATGGGACGGCCGCTCAGGAGGGAGTTACGCTTCGCGGCACCCAGGAGGGGACGCTGCTGACGGAGAACCGGGAACCAGGAGGGAGAAATGAGACAAATGAGGGAATCATTCATTTTACCGTTTATATTAAGAATTTCAAGCAAACTTTTAAGAATATCATTTGTGATTTGTGAAGTGATTCCACATATAACAGCACTGAATGTGACTGATTTCAAGGCTGATATTGAAACTGATATTTGAGAGATCATACCAATATAAGGGTCCAAAAATGTTTTACAGTTAAAGAATTTTGACCAAGATATTGAGAGATAATCTGCAGCTGAAGTGTACGCTTGTCTGTGCTCTCTGGTGGCCAAACTATGTAGCGGAGACAGAGTTTCTACAGCGTATTTCTCCACACAGCACAAGCTGCGCATTTTGATAAAATACCACGAAAAAATTATGACATCAATAAAATTAACCAATAAATATCAAACACTAATTACGGTAGATCTTAGCCATAGACTCCATATAAAGGAAGATCTTAGGCTGTACAGAGGACTGTAGGGAGCAGCCTTCCCACCACCTCAGACCTCTACTCATCAGGGCTCTCCGCATCATGAAGGACTCCACCCATCTAGACTGTTTCAGCGCCTCCCCTCAGGCAGGCGGCTCAGGAGCATCCAGAGCAAAACCACCAGACTCAGAAACAGCTTCTTCCCTGAAGCTGTCCGACTGTTGAACTCGAGCCGTGCTCTGTAGACTCACACCACCGTCACACACGGACTGCACCAACCGGACTTTATCCATATATGTGCAATACTTAACCACCAAGTGCAATATCACAATCTACCTCGCTGCTTGTATTTTGCTCTCATTTTATTGTACTTATTGTTTATTAGGCTTGTTTTCCCTTAAAAAGCCGAGACTGAGTACAAATGTCATACCACTAACATGTGAATGTGAGCTGGCATGACAAATAAAGTTCCTTGAATCCTTGAATCCTTTTAAATCAAGAGTGTTTTCACAGAAAATCAGCAGGTTAAAAAAGCCTAAAACGATGAACTAGGTACATTTCTGTTTACATTTGTGTCAGTGCTTCCCTGTTATATACAACAATAAGCATAGTTTGTAGCAGGTCTACAGTTGGGTCTTTTTAATTTTCCCCCAACAACAATTGACTTATTCCCATTGGGTGGACCAAGTGGCTGCCTGTCATCAGAGACGTCCTCAGATTTAGCTTTACAACAATTAATCCCATCAACAATTCTGCACTGGTTAAAAGTCTGGACAACTCAATCAGTTTTCCTTTATTTTTTTATTTTCTACACTGTAGAACAAAACTGAACCTGCTCTGTGCTCATTCTTGCAAGTTTACACTAAATAAAAGGCAACATCTATTCATTTAGGTGTAAAAACAATCTTTTGCACCTCAGTTGTCCCTTTTTTTGTTGTCTTCAATTACGTGCGATGGTTTTTACTTCTAACTGAAAGGAAACGAGGGGAACAATCAGGGTTCAGGAGGTTCAGCTGAGACACCAGATTTAGAGATTTGCGGCCTCATCGTTAAAGTGGAGCACAGATGAAATCTTTTCTATCCACAAGAACAATGAATGTCCTTGTGCAACGTGCAGCTTACACTCCACAGTCCTGGCAGGAGCAGGAAGCATGTGACACAATGGGCCTGAATTAGTGCACAACACTTTGATAATCCACTTTCTCACATCACTGATTCATCACATTTGTATGAACCTCTTGACATCTAATCAAAGCCTAAATGATCTGAAGTCTCAAAGAGGACAGTGAAATGACTTTAACCTTAAGAGCTGCTGCCTGGACATGAATTCCTGTTCGCTCATTTACCGTGTTATAGGGTCAAGATCATGATGAAGATGAGTGTGTGTGTGGAGGCTGCTCTTTCCCTGCTGCTTATTAAATAATTGAATTAACTGTCATGCTGCTCAGGTCTGCTTGGGTCACTCTAAATGAGGTCTATTGGGTTCAGGTCGGGCTGCGTTCGGGTCTGTTTTTTAAAAATGTAGACACGTGAGGTTCAGTTTCGACCTCTATCTCGTAGCCTGAGCTTTGAGTGAACCGACTCTTTTCTTAAGTGTATCGGATTATTGTCATTAAACAGAATATTAAGACAACAAAATGCAGTCCTGTAAACATTCATGTCCGTGTTGACCTGTTGCATTCTTTCCTCTCTGTGTTGTGGTGATCCAGTTTGCGTGTTTGTGAGTGTGTAAAGTGTGTGGCACCGTGATGGAGCTGAAAAAAAAAGTGCGTTTGTTCCAGTTGGTGTGAATCTGACAGTGGCTCTCATTGTTTGAATGGGATGGAAAATCAAGCGGTTTGCCTCCAGCCATCAGAGAGAGAGAACGAGTGTGTGTGTGTGTGTGTGTGTGTGTGTGTGTGTGTGTGTGTGTGTACTGGCATTAGCTCACTGGTTGCACAATGTACTGTAGATCTGCTGGAACGGAAAGTGTGTGTGTGTACGTTTACATTCAGGTCATTCATTATGCATAAGAGATGAATCAAACCAACCTCTACACTTGTTTCACAAACATCCCATCAACACGTGAGACATCTATGGTCCTCTGAGATACTGAAAAAAGCCTAACCTTAGTGTTGATGCTGAAATCAGAGTGAATACTTTGTGATGTGTTGTTGTTCTTGCAAACAGCCGACACTGAATATGTATCTGTTCAGACGGACTATTGCGACAGATGTGAGGTGACTGTAGTAAACCCACCTCCTCCTGTGGCATCGGGGTGAACTCAGTGGACGGCGGACGAGCGACGGACATGGCGGAGCCCGGCAGAGAGACGTTGGACAGCCGCCTCTTCTTCACGCCGCTGCAGTTGTTGGGGATCTTGAACGCGCACCGCTTGTGGTAGTTGAGTCCACATCCTGCAGAGGAAAAGGTTTGTTAGCTGTTGTCCCATTCAGTCTTGCATCAGTTTGTGTTGGCACGTTCTGATCTGATTGTTTCAGCCAAACTTCATGTAAACTCACAGAGTTTTAGTTTAACCAGTTCGAAGTCAATACAGGGGCCAAGTATCTGAGACAAAAGGCCATTTCCACCTGTTGAGACCCGGAATACAGACGCAACACTGAGGTTAACAAGTGTTGGAAAGAAAAAAACCAGGTGTACGCAGACCCGCAACAAAACTAAAACCTTCATGGCAAGAAAACTATGATGTCCGTGCACTGACAAATGATGGAAAACCAAAAGCAGGAAAATATTTGTCTTCAAACAATCAGGCGCTCATCAAGAAAACAGCTGTGTGCCTGTGGCAACCGTTGACATCGAGCCACCCAAGAAATGATGATTGAACCCCTAGAAACTCCTCTTTGTTAGTAAAGTTACACATTTTGATCCCTTCCTGCTTTAAATCTGTGCGATGCAACTCTACGACTTTGCTTCCTTTAAAATGTGCAGATCTATGAAGTCTCTACCCCTCTGCCGCTCGAGCACACCAGCTCACCTACAACTCTCCTCAAAAGCTGTGCTGTACGATACGCAGGGCGAAGTTGTAAAATTAGAGTAATTCAATCGGAAAACAATTCCAAAGAAGAAGAATGATCCAAAGAGTTCAGGATTGCCGTCGCTATTGCTCACCTGGTTGAGCTGGTGACCCACGTACAGCGGCTATAGTCCCTGATGCAGTGGCCATGGGTTCGAATCCCGCTCATGGCCCTTTGCTGCAACTCCTTCCCCCATTTTTCTGTCTCTCTCTCTCTCAACTGTCCTATCTAATAAAGGCAAAACGGCCCAAAAAAGAGCTCAGGATTGGGTATTTAGGTGTGTCATGTGTGAAAGTCTGACCCTGTGTTGTTGTCGTTGCTACACTGCAGATTTAAAGTGGAAATGCTCAACCATAGCGGTGACTTATTTATTATGCTTATTTTGCTAATGATGCGTCATATAAAAAACACTATACTGACATGTTAACATGCCAGAATCCCAGGAGGAGCACAGCAGCACACAAATCTAAACATTTGGACACAACCAGGCTTGATGTTTTCCTCCATTTTCTCTCGTATAGGGAAGCTAATCAAGCCTACTCTCAGAAAAAAAACTATTACTTTAATGTTCTGTTTCGTCAAAGTGCATGAATCAGACCATTTAGAGAAAAACAAATGGTTGATTCATGTAGAAGACTCACAATCAAACTGTCTGGAGAATTTTACCCAGCTCAGGATGTAGGTAGTGAGAGCAAATCAGACGCTGCAATCATTCTAAACTATGATCAATTTATCTTCTTCCGTCAAGGTCGTTTTTATTCATTCTTCCCTCCCATCAGACTGAGTGGGCAGATTACATTCTTTTGTTGCCTCTCAGGTCTGAAAACTCCGCTTTTCACCTTTCAAACGGGTTATATAAGCGGAAGCCATATTCCTGCACCGACAGCCGCTCTGCTCCTCAGAACATCAAGCGTCTCTTTTCTCTCTGCTTGGCATCACTACAGTTACAGTTCGCTCTGAGGTTTTGGAGCGCCGAGATCAAAACATTAAAGACGAGGCTCTTTGAAAAACAGTCGCAGGAAGTCACCGAGTCAATGAAGACATCCTGCTGTACAGCCACCGCGGCTTTGATTCAGGCCCGAAAACCAGCGTGTGAAACCCGGCGTGTCTGTTGGCCGCCGGCCCGGGGGCCTCGATTCGAGGCGCTGATTGGGTCAGCGCGGACGTCGCGGAAATCAAAGCTGGGGCTGAAACCAGAGAAGCCACCGCACATAACCTCAGCGAAAATAAAACTTTATTAAATCTGTTAAAGCAAACATGACATCACTCTGGGTTAAAGCTTCCATTAGCCTGAGGGACAGAACAATCAAGTTTTATACGCGTAAAGATCAATTTTCAGTCATTCATCGCTCAGAAGGAATGAAAGACAACCTCCTATAGCTCTGCTACACTCATTAAAATTTGATTTCTTTTACATCGCTACAGAAACGCTGGCTGCAAACAACCTCCTGTCATAAAGTTGAACTGACAGGAAGCTTGTCTGAATTGTTTTAATACCCTCATCGACGTCCATTTCTAAACCAAACACTTCATGTCTTTCTGCAGTTACGACAGAGCTTTGAGGAAGCGAGTTAATACCTTCGTCAACACGCAACAACAAAGCAATAAAAACTGGACAGACACTGACGAACATTAGTGCTGTCATGCAAGCAAACATACAGTGAAGGATCCAGGATTAATGCTGCTGTTGTGTTCACTTCCCTTCATGCTTGTAACGATGAATATTTCATACTGATCGATGTTTATGTTCTTCCCTCTCAGGTGTACTCGCTCTGAACTGATCGGGGGGAAGCGCTAACACAGAGGGGTTCCTCTGTAGTGTTTGGTTTCTTTGGTCGCAATGACAGGCCCATTAGTTTTGGTTTTCACTTGTTTTAGGTGTAGTTTCCTGTTTGGTTTAGGTTGGAGGAAGAGCTCACATCTGAAGCCTCGCTGTGTGTTTGGCCTGGGTGGCTTCCTTTCTTTTAGCTCGGTTTTCTGCACCTGTTACATATTACGCTGCATTTGGAAGTGAAAAGAAGCAAATAAAAACTTTACCATGAGACAAAAACGGTAAAAAAAAAAAACTGTAGTAGTGATAAGTCGATTGACTGATGGTTTGGGCTAAATAAATGCCATTTTGAAATAACTGGCATCGGCTGATTACCGGGTCCTGATGCTTGAAACACATGAAAAACATGCAGACCTGAGATGGTATACTGAGCATTAGTTAAGTCAAAAGTTAGCAGCACAAGAATCTGCTAAAATTCTAAATTAGCAGCTGGACAACATACATGAGCTGCAATAAATCTGTAAACAGCAGCACAGCACATTGAGCTGTCAGACGTCAAGATCACTAAGATTGTTATTGTTTTTATTCCTGAGTCTCTTTTTTTAATTACTTATGGACATATATTCAGTTTCTAGTTTTAGTTGACACCCAGTGAATTGCCACCATGTCACAATGGTGGGGTTTGTGTGTTTTTATGACCCTGGGAGCAACACAGATCAGTGTCTCCCAAAGCAAACTGGTCCTACAGGAGAGGACAGTCGAAGAGCGAGTCAAAGATTTTAATAAATTGGTAGTCGGGAAGTGGCGCAACCTCGTCTGAAACAGGGAGACCTGGGCCCTCTTCTGGAGCCAGGCCTGGAGGGGAACGCTTTTCTGTTGGCGGAGTCTTGACCAATCGGGCTCAAGAAGCTACATCGGACCACCACCTAGTTGGCACACCACTGAGTCTAAACGTTACTAAGGGGAAGGATCTGACTGTCTGTGAGAAAAATGTGATCTATATCAGGCATCAGTCAAAATCAGCTACACTGTAGTCTTTACCACAGCTTTGGCGATGGTGACTTCTTACTCCACGAGTGGAAAAGAACGTCCATGCAACTGTTATATTTTCTGTGAAATTATCACAGCAGGTGAGTTATTTATCATTTACAGCCCAACCTTGGTAGATTTTTTTGGGTTTGTTTCATCCCCCGTTGGAGGAAAATAAACCTCCAAGCAACAAAAATCCCAAAGTTTTGATCAAGTCAAGTTAAACAACCTAGTTTGTAGCTTGATAAAACGTTAAATCATGTTAGTGTGGATTGCTAAAACATTGCAGTCTGTCAGCATGATGGAACGTCTTCTTAGTGTGAATTTATAATTTGGTTTTCAGGGTTTCTCACCAACATTAATATCGTCCACTCCCCCAGAACACATGCAGTTTAAACCACAGCAGCACTACAATGACAGCAAGTGTTCTGCCCCCGAAGCTGCAGCACATCCTCACCTTCACACTTGAGGCCCTGTCTGACCAGACCCCACAGCATCTCCCCACAGTCGTCACAGAAGGCCGGGGCCTTGTATGAGTGGACGTACAGCGTGTGTGGTCGGATCTGGAAGTCCTCCTCTGTGGCCAGAGCTGAAACACAGACAACAAACAACAATATGAGATGTTTCCCATCCTGCAGCCGGTTTGGATGAAGCAGAAGGAGATGCTGTCAGTCTTCTGCACTGCTGGCATTCACATGGACTTTGCTTTGACGTGAACCTGAACATTGCTGCAGACCAAGAACAGCTTTCAATGGCAACTGCTCTCAGCAACATCAGCAGCTTCTCTCAGCAGGACAATGTGCCTGTTTGTCTACTGTGGCCCAAAAAGTATCTGGATTATGAACAGCTTTTACAAAGATAACAGGGATTGGTGCTGCTTCTTAAAAGCGACTGAGTTCCATCAGAGTTATGCACGTCATCATAAACAACGATTTCCATGTTTCCAGACAATACATTACTTTTTTCATAAGCAAAGATGTAATGAAACCTCATCATGCATTGTTTACAAGACAAACTGAAAAAAAACCAGAGTAAATCGCTTCAGTCTTAAACTGACTTGTGGTATTATCAGGTTGTGAATGGGTTTGTATGTCAGTACTTTATGTTCCTACCTGCTGTGTTACAGCATCAGCTACAGCAATGCGTAAGACTCAGAAGTCTGAAAAGGCAGCATTTTCTTACCTTAGTTCTCTGTCTTCCTCCTTTGTTACTACATTGTGATGTGCTGCTTTTATAAACTCTATTCAAAAACACAATCTGTTCAGTCTTGCTTGTGTGCATACGTTCTATATTCTGGCTTTAATTTAGTCTCACTGCAAGTTTTTCTTTTACTTTTAACTAATGCTTTATTGTGTTTATATGATGTCACTCTATTTTAGTGCATTTTAATTCTGTTTGCTAATGTGCCATGTGTTTGATAAGNTTTATATGATGTCACTCTATTTTAGTGCATTTTAATTCTCTTTGCTAATGTGCCATGTGTTTGATAAGTACTGGATATCCAATGATGCCAAGCATTTGGAGCCGTTATTTTCTATATGCTGCTGTAACACTTTAAATTTCCCCACTGCAGGATCAATAAAGGTTTAATCTATCTATCTATCCATCTATCCATCTATCTATCTATCTATCTATCTATCTATCTATCTATCTATCTATCTATCTATCTATCTATCTATCTAAATACAACGTACTATGTCAGTCGTGTAAATGCTGCTGTATCATCCAGAGCTCAGGCAGCAGAGGCAGCATGAACAGTAACAGTAATACAGCAATAAAGGAGCTCAGCAGAGTGTTTGCAGCAGCAGCAGCAGCAGTACAAGGTGGAGGAGGAGGAGGAGGAAGTGGTCGTGGGTTTGCTCCCGGTGCGGTACGAATGTGTTTTCGTCCTCCTGTGTAATTTAAACCTGCCGCCGCTGTGCGCCCGGGTGTTCAGCTGTTAAGGTGTCAGTTTTAGTTTTTACAGCCCAACCTGTTGACACGACTCAGGAAATGACAATCCTTCACACAATATTATGGTTAGAGCGAGCGGGGTGACCCGGGGCGACGCCGCGGTGGAGGAAACAAGATCTGGGCCGACCTCACAGCTCTCCCTCAGAGGTGAGATTAACAAGAGCGCTGAAGAGGTGAGAAGGCTGAGACGAAACAAACAATAATAAATAAAATGAATGAAGCTGTCTTCACTTTTAAACCTGCACAAAGTGTAAATCCATAAACAGCTCATACTGTAACGGACAGGGGTTCTACTAAAAGTGATTTTAATACAATAAAATAAAAACTGTGCAACTTTGATCGAATAATTATTTTTCTTTTAATAGTTGTTAATTTGCAGATGATTAATAATCTTAGCTGTTCAAATAGAAAGTGCTGGAACCCTATTAGAAGGCTATTGTGCTCCTTTTTCAGACTAGCTCATCCCACTGTAGTTTAAGCACACACGAAGAAAAGATCTTCACCAGTTTAATGACACATATGCAGCATTTAGCAAACATGTCAAAAACTGAGAAAACAAACACTAAAACACAATGGAAGTAAAGAAAAAAGTATCAAATACAGATTTTTGTGTTTTCTACTATCTATTTTTTGCATGTGTTTTCCTAAACTTCCCTTCGATGAGCTCTCGCTGTCACCGTATTTATCTCCTAAAAGCATCTGGAACTTTGAAACTAAACAACTAAAGCATCAAAACCTGGCAGACAAAGTCTCAGCAGCTAGCAGACAACAGGGCAGCTGTGGCTCAGGTGGTAGAGCGGGTTGTCCTCTGTTGGTGGTTCGATCCCCTGTCCCTCCGCAGTTGAAGTGTCCTTGGGCAAGACACTGAACCCACAGTTGCTGAACCCAATGCACCTTGCATGGCAGCTCTGTCACCATTGGTGTATGAATGTGTGTGTGAATGGGTGAATGAGAAACACATTGTAAAGCGCTTTGAGTGCTGCTAAGGTAAATAAATGCAGATTTAAGCAAATTGTGACATAAAATAAAGACACAAACAAATTTGCAAATTATTGATGACAAAATGCAGATTTGCCCAGAAGCTGGTTTAATGCTTGAACGGGAGGAAAGTAATTGCAGCCGAAGAACTGAATTTAAAATAATCAACACACTAATAGATTATAAAAGTAATTCCCTACCAGAGAGCACCACCTCGACCAGGTCGCCCTCGTGGATCTCCTCCGCTGAGGTCAGACGCTGCAGGATGTTGTCCGAGCTCAGGTCATGACGAAAGAGCAGGATCTTGTCGTACATCCCGAAAAATCCACATTCAGGGAACTGAGGAGGGAAAAATAGAAAGTCCACAGTTAAGTTGAGTTATCACAGGTTTAACTACCTGTGTGACACAAACAGGAGGAAGCAATATGGATAAATAACAATGATGTAAAGTACAGTACTGTGGTTTGAGCCACTTTAGATATTTTGATTCCGATCCAGGAGGCCTCTGATTATTCCAAATTCATTCTGAAGCACAACAACAAACCCAAACATGGAGCTGGAGTCATAAAGAACGACAGAATCTTCATCCACGAGAAGAACAAAGAGTCCTGCCTCAGAATAAATCACATGTAAAAATAAGCTAAACATGAAAACATATGTGTTTTAGTAATTTAATGCTAGTTGTGCCATTTGAAAATTTAAAATCCTGTGTATAAATGTGAGCATTTAGCCCAAAGGTGGCACTAAAGATGTAAGTTAAGGCTCATTTTAAATCAGAAACGTACATGAAAACTACAGCTGTTGTTGCAGGGGGTTTTTCAAAGCAGATAGGAAAAGTGTAAGTCATTTAATAATACTGTCCGTTGATACTTCCAGCAAAATACCTTCATGTTCTGTGTGCAGTTTGCTCTCACAGCAACAAGGGAAGTTTTTTTTCATTACATCAACCTTCACCGTGATCCGGTCTGTTCCTAAAGTTAAAGATTACCTAACCTTTCGATATGAGGAACGCATGACTGTGAAGAAACTAATTCAGAGAAACACCACACTGGGAAACTACCAGCAGCCACTACACTGCTGAAATGTTTTGACTGGGGCTGCCGAATTAATTTCCACTGCAGGCAACGATCCTCCATATTTGGGCCTCTTTTTGAAAAAATGAAATTTTCTGGTGAAAAGCATGACGGTTTCTCAGCAGCGACAAACCCTTTCCTTCATATGAAGAACCTTAAACATCATGTGGTAGTCTGGGACGCTGTTCTGGTCTGATGTAATGCCTTTCCTCTCTTGTTGTTGCAGCTTTTCTGAAACAATTCATCAAACGTTCCAGTCTGTGACTAGTCTGCCGGACGTAAAGCTTAAAATATAAAGTGAAACACATTAATGGAACTCAAGAGAGTCAGTTCCCTTCGCTACACAGGTCATCTAAGATATGTTGTCAGGTTTCAGCGTTTTTTATGTTGCTGGAGGCAGTAAATGTCCCAACCAATAAATACTGAAAAACCACAGGGAAAGACAAACATACTGTTGTGCAGAGTTTTACCAAAAACACACGACTTGGTCAATACAGAACTATATCTACTAAATGTTAGCATTTAATTACATTTAACAACAGACTTTGGATAATGTGAGAAATGTATTAGCTTTCAGAAAAAGTTTTAGAAACTTTGTTAAAATGCTTGAATTTATTGTAACAAATGTGTTTCTTCTGTGTCGATACATCATTGTATCACGTTTGTAGATAATATTGGCAGCAGTGTCCTAAGTTTCCTAAGACCCAAGGCCTTGAAACTACAGGAGCACTTCAAATGATCATATCACAAAAAGGAGGTTTGTAAACTGTGCAACGGACCCACACCTAAGAGAAAACACACAGACGCTACCAACAAGGAACCAATTTAACGCCCCGGTCCAACCAACTGCCTCCCCCCCGCCCCCCGGGCCCAAAAGGAATGGGGTTAAAATCAACCCAAAAAAACCGCCCCCTTTTACTTATTGTTCACTTTTTGTTGTCAGACAACGAACGACTATGAAACAGTGACTGAAAGGAGAAGCATAAAGACGACACGTTCACCAGCAGTCGCTTTCAAGCTGCTGCTCTGCACTGCTAAGATCAACATTTTGCAACCGCATTGTCGTCCAAGAAACTCACCACACACAACAACCTTTGCAACTACAGAAATATGATCACCAGCAATGGAAGGGTTGTACCACAACTTCTAAGAACCAAAGGCGTAAATGTGTCTCTGACACTGCATCTACCGACAACACTGAGTTTAAAGGAACCACACCAGGGCTTTTACAAGTTTTAGTTCCTTAACTTTGAAGTGTACTGCTGGCCATTTCAATGCATGAGTGTTCAACGAGGGTTCTGATCCTCCTGAGAGCAACTGGTTTCAATTCATTTCTGTACATTATTCTTCTTTTAAAAGGGCACTTAACCCTACTCAGGACTTTCATGTTGCCGTACGTAGAAGGTCTTTTGGGGTCCATTGGACCCTAAGAAAGAATATGTGCAAAATATTTGTTGCTATTCATTACAGACTGTTATAAGTTGTTAATTACATTTATAAGTTGACGTATTTTTGGTTCCAAATGCATGACAAATTCCCCAAAAATAAAATAACAATACCTGTCACCTAAACCAAATAGCCTGGGGTCCAAAAGACCCCAAAAGTCCTAAATAGGGTTAAACTAACATGACGTCTATTAAATTAAGCTTCGAAATTAAGTTAAATTGTCGTTAGGAGGTAGTGCAGCTGTTAGGAAAGTTTGTGCTGCTCTTCCTCTTAATTACCTGCATAATGTAGATAAACATGTTTCATAAAATGGCTCGCAGTCGGTTTTTCAACACTGAAAATCACTGGTTCGGCCCTCAGGGTCGTCTCAGTTGGTTCGACCTCGTGTAAGCGCCCTCATGTGAATGCGTCAACCTCCTTCAGTGTTTTGAAATTTCAATCTCAGGATTTGATGAAAAGATTTTAATAGATAAACACTTCTGAAATGACGAGCGTGTGCTGTTATTGCGTGGCGAACGGTGTACGTTGTTGTGAAGAAGTGTGTGCGCTGGATTTGGGCTTCAGCAGCTTCTGCAGGCTGCACACGGGCAGGTGGAGCAGCTTCCTGCTCCGTGTTAGCAGGATGTTAGCAGTGTGCAGCATGGATGCTGCAGCGCACCCTGACAACAGGAAACCGACCGACAGGTGACGAGGCAAGAAGCTGCACGGATCACATTTGATGCGCCACACGCAGACACACACACA